GCCCACGTGAAGCTGGGTGACATAGATGTCCGCCGCATCAACCTTCGACTTGATCTCCAATGCGGCGGTGTTGAGATAGGAGTACCCCTCGGGCATATCGAGGGGCTTCCCTTGATCTGCTACGCTGCCCTTCTTCTTGGGAACAGCGGCCTTGGCCTTCTTCTTTCCGGGGGCCACCCGGAGGGGGACCGCATTCAGCGGCCGAGAGGTGCTGGCCTCCCCGGCACCCCGAGGGGGGAGCACAGCAACGGTGACCCTCTCGCCTTCTCTTTGTGCCTCGTCTTCAGCTGCTTGCCAGGCGATGGCCATCTCTTCGTCCTCACATTCTTGTTCAAAGCCCTCGACCTCCGCCTCAGCTACGAGGGCTTTCTGCAACTCCAGGGCAATGACGGCATCCTGTCCCACCGAGGACTCCGCACTTGAGGACTCCACGTCCGAGAGGACTTCATCCTCCACCGAGGGCGCCCCCGAGATATCTTGAGAATCACTCTGGGACGACATTCGCACTCTAGTTCGAGGGCTCGTAGACGGTAGTGTTTCCTAACTTTTCTATCTCCTAACCTAAGGGCACAGTACAGCTATGCTAGAAGGAGAAAGGCAGGGAGCACTGACCTCGAAAGCTGAGTTAGGACCGAAGGCTAGAGTTTCTCTCACTAGATTTTTTGGCAGAGCTTCGCTAACAAAGTTTTCGCACACGGAGGAATGCCTGGCCTTGGAGTATTTATAGGCGCTGGAATCCGGGCTTGGGCCTGGGTTCCGGGCCTCCGGATGGACGCCATCATTACTCACCGCGTCTTCGCCCAACCGGTGACGCCGCCCACGGACAGCCAGCCATCACACGCCACGTGTGCCCCCCCCCCAACGGCTATATCCCGTCGTTACATATTCCATCGGCTATATTTCCAACGGCTATATTTTGGAAGCCCCCGGGTTTTCTACTTCACTCCACTTCATCAAGGATAGCCTCCGGGTCCCGGGTTTTCTACCTCACTCCACTTCATCAAGGATAGCCTCCGGGTGCACTCACCCAGAAGTGCCCCCGGGTTGTGCCCCACACAGCACATTACACACGCCTTCGGGATCACTCCCTCAGAAACTCAGGGCTTCATATCAGGGCACCCCTCGGAGTTTCCCCCTCAGCACTGCAAAACCGGGTAGCCCCCGGGGAGTGCCTCATTGACGGATGGCCCAAGGCACACAGGTAATGGGAGCCCTCGGGTATCTTCATCACCAACTAATCAACAAACAGTGGACCCCCCCGGTAACAACTTCGCTGCTGCCCCCATCTGGCAGGCCCTCGATCCCTGGATTGAGGGGCTCCCCTTCGGCACCACCAGGACATCAACAGCAAGCCTTCGGCTAATCAACACAGGAGCCCTCAGAAGAGAAAGCCTTCGGCATTCCCGCCATTCTCCATTTTCACCAAGGTTTGACATTTTCGATTCATCATTGGGGGAATTCGGTGCACTCTTTTTCCCTCATTAGGATTTTTTCCCAAAGGGTTTTTCCTAATGAGGTTTTTAACGAGGCATCCCCCCAAAATGAAACGAAAAGCGTAAGCCTTCGGCCCACAACAGCAACATAACTACTTTACTCCTTTTCACCACTTTACAAATGCCTCAAGGAGTGGGGGACTGGAGGACCCCCTCGGGAAAATCATTAAATTACAAAATCTGTGAAATTCCAACAAACAACAAAGCAAGCCCTCAAGTCCCGACATGTGGGTAACTGAGGGACTGCCTTCGGCAGGGACACAAAAGCAACGACTCCTCACCAACTTCAGAGATCACGACGGGACAAACATCAAAGGGCAAGCACAAACTACTCCTTTTCCCTCAAGTACCTTTCGACAAAAGGAGTGAGGGACTCCTGATGGAGTATATGGCCCGGGAACCCCTGGCCCACAGATTCCTACTACTCCAGCGAAGGCCCAACAGGCCCAAAAGGCCCGACAGGCCCAAATCACAGCGCCCAGAGTACCAAGCAGCCCGCACTACGCGCCAGGGGTGCCTTCGGCCCCCTGGCCGAAGGGTCTAAACTCTCACAGAACGGGTTTCTCAAGCAAACTAAGAAACTGGGAGAAAACGGCGAAAACAGTAGCCCTCGGTACTGTGAGCCCTCGGCACCAAGGTGCCCTCGGTTGGAGGAGCCTTCGGCTACTGCTCTATGGCCGAAGACATCTCACTCGACAAGATATCCGCCTCACATGCGTACAGATCGCCGTACTCTGCATAGACGTCCCATCCAACAGCCGCATTAAATGCGGCCACATGCGGCTGCCAGCGCCAACCGGTTGAGGTGACCCCTCGGCCAATGAGCGCTTTACACGTGTCCCTGCCCGGCATTTATTGCTACTATAAATAGCACCCCTTTTCCCCATTTGTAACCAAGTTATAACACGCTGAAAAGTGATAACACACTGAATACACTCTCTCTCTACTTTTATTTACTTGCTCTGACTTCTCTCTAAATTACTTCCCGCAATAACCCTTCGGATATATACCCCCGGGTAGACTATCCATCACATGATAACCACAAAACCAGCATTATCCGATTTTAAGCAGGTGTATGAATTATGGATATTTTTGGAAATGAGATTGTTTGACATAATATTTGGATATTCCTATTCAACTATTTAAACCTTTTTCAAATATCATTAAGGTTGTAGAATGCACATGTATACTACTATGCTCAGGTTCCTAGGTATTTCTGTATTTTGTCTCTGTTCAGTTGGCATATATGCTCTGTTTATCATTGTAAGGAAGATATATTATATATAAAGCTTTATGTGGTTGATATAGATCACACGTGGTATGGCAACTTTTAATAGTGAAACATGGTTTTTTATGATATTAGCTTTATTATTGTTGTTTTTGTAGTACAATTTGAGAAGTTTTTTTTGTTAGAAAACCTGAATCTCTTTTTTGTATAACTGGAGAAGAATCTTGGGCTTTTTGAAAGATCTTTTGTACGTAAATTTTGTGACCCACATAAGTGTTTTCAATATCCCTAATTTTTTAAAAAACTCTTATCCTTGCTTATAAGTGTATTTGGGGTTTAAACAACTAATGGTACTTTGTTAGTAAGCATACTCTTCATATAAAAAAATAGCTTGCTTATATAAGTACTCTGGTTTTAAAATAGCCTCTAGCAATTTTTCATTTTCTTTTCGAGAGGGGTGGAGGATTGAGCAGTTACAATAGCATCTTAAAAACATGATTATATATCAGGCCAAAATGCAGTGACTAGATAATACGAAGATCTCTTATAGAAAATGAGGTTATAAAAAGTGTTTCATTGTATCTAAAGTGCATTTGTATATTACAAAAGTGCAACCATGTCTAAACAAAACATGCATGACTGAAAAAGTACGATATCATTTTCGTAATAAGACATAAGTGCACTGTTTTGTGAATGTTGTAACCAATTTTTAAAATATATTATTTTTCTTCAAGGACCACTTTGAAACAGAGCCAGTTCAGTGAGTACATGTATATAAATTTAGAAGCACTTCTCATGGATTAAAAATGGGATTTTAGAAGTAAGGGTTCCAGCTTCTACAAATAGAGAAGTGATTTTGTTTTTTATTCTAACCATTGCATATTAAAGTTCCACACATTTCCAGTTCTACACTGCATATTTTGATGAAAAAATAGATCACATTCTTCCATTGTTACTGAAGAAAGATCTAAAATTTTTTCCTATTTATTGCTACACCCTGGAACATCTATGGTTTCCTAGGTGTGGTACGTTAGGTAATGTCAAGTATGTACTTCTACAAAACACTTCCTAATATTACATTACGCACTGCATCTCCAATAAAGAACTGTTGAAAGTTCTGTGTAATCCAAAGAAGGTCTTGATGTGGCTCATTGTCTTGATTTACCCATAGGTTGGAGGAATTTTTTTATAGAAACTTTGCTAAATGTGTATGGACATGCATGTTAAATGTACATACTGTTTATTTTTACTCAGACCATTACTAAATGTGTATGGGCATGCAGAGGATTTAAAATTATTCTTACATCTTGAGGACTAAATTTAAGAACGTGGAAGAGTTCTTTTTGAATCCACTATTATCTTCTTTTAATTGGCAGAGGATTTAAAATTATTCTTACATCTTTTACTTAAGGAATTTCTGGTTATTGCAGTTTCAACGTAGGAATAGGGTATACAAGGAAGAGCAGCGTCAACTAAGAGCAGCTGCGCAAAAGGGAAAAGAAGGTGAAAAGGGTGGTGCAACTCCCCATTGATTGTAAAACTTTTCCTGTATGGATATCTGGTTTTTGGCCATTTGAAAGCAAGTTGAAGTGGATGCTTTCAGAATAAAAAGGTCACTCAATAATTCAATTGCTGTACTATATTTCATGGAATGGTAAAAGCATTGCAAGATTGTATGGTAAAACACTATCTGCTATGTGCCACTTGCTGTGTGGGCATTTGTCGTTTTTATTTTTTCATCTATGGCATTTCATACAGCTAAGTTAGCATTCTAATCCATAAATATGGCTAAGATAATCACGTTTGTTCAAAGTCTTGCATTATGGTGTATTTTAGTATATATATGCTCACATTATGAGGAAAATAAATGAAAATCCATTATATTAATAATTAATTACTCCATCTGTCCCAAATTGTGACTGCCTTTGTGATGCCCTAATTCTTACCTCTCAAGTCCCAAACATTTTTTGGGTACATTTCTCATGAAACACAAAATGCAAATATACAAATGATAGCTCAAAATAATAAATCAAGCAATAAGATGCAGGCATGGTAGAATAATTAATGAAATAATTAAAAATATGAAAAAATATACTTAAAATAAAAGACAGTAAAAATTATACTCCGTAACCTGCTAAATGCTTTGTCACTATATTTGGCTGATACGTAGTACATGGCTATGATTGTAGCCATTGAACTCCATTTAAAATCAACAAGTGGAACCCGGTTTAACTTTAATCTAAAAAACTTTTCATTCTTAATTAGGACTTACGCTTAAATTAATCATTAATTCTCAGATTTTATTTATAACATGAAACAACTATGCATCCATTAATCATATAGTGATAAATAACACACATTGTTTTTTAGACGGAGGTAGTGTCTTTCCATTAATAAAAAAGGAAAGTCAGTATTGAACATGAAACACTAGTATGTTCACATTGCAGAACGATATTGTACCACTAATATGTTCACATTGCAGAACGATATTGTACACTACGACCCTTCCACCCGCAAAAATAATTCCTGTTTGATGATGGCTTTGCTCTTCTTGTTGGTGTTTTCCCCGGGGTAGGAGCCGGTGAGAACTCTAGGGAAGTGATAAGTGTATCATCATTTCCATTTCCAGACCGCTTGTCAAGCCAAGAAATGATGTCTGAAAACACAATTTCTATGTTGTTATCAGGCTCACCGGACGTGAGGCCATGCCACATCCCTGGATACAATTTGATTGTCTTGTCTTTACTACTGGCTTCTTCATATAATGCCTTGCTCACTTCTGGATCTGTTACCTTGTCAGCTTCCCCGTGTAGCACAAAGAAAGGAAATGTGACCTATCAAAACAAGATCTCATACTTTTAGCTCTATTTTTTCTGCAATATGTCAAGAGTAAGGTTGCACGGTTGCACCTAAGTCAACCCAATACTTACACACCTTTATCTGGTCAGTACAATTTTTTTTTCTAAAAGGTTTTCGTTAGGCATGGACCGGTTCCGGTTCGGGCCCGGCCGGGCCTCGGTTCAAGAAGGGGAGGCCCAGAACCAGCCCGGGTAACCCCCGGGTCCGGGCCAGGCCGGGCCTCGGTTCTATTTTTTTTTTTTTGGCTTTTCCTAGTTAACCCCCAACCCTCCTCCTCACCCCAAACCAACCCTAACCACCTCAAATGGCCCAAAATACCCAACCCAACCCAAAAACTTAAAAAAAAATAAAAAAAAAAAAGGCCCGGCCCGGGCCCGAACCGGCCGGGCCGGTTCACCTTTTGAAGGACCCGAGCCTGAACCGCCATCCCACCGGGCCCGGAACCGGTTCACCGGGCCCGGAACCGGTTCACCGGGCCGGGCCGGTTGGCCCGGCCCGAGTCCCCCCTAGTTTTCGTGACATCTCACGAATTGGTGTGTGTGTGGGGGTGGGGGGAGGGGGTGGGGGTGGGGTTGGCATTGATTCAAAGCTTCAGTGATTCACATTATTTTTGTGCACAACTTAACTTCATCAAGTGACAATAGCGCCACACACACTTTGACAAGGTAGATCAGCTTCATGCATCTTTTTTAGTATTTTATTAAACTACTTGGTGTTTTATGAGGAATTTCATGTATCTATTAGAGCATATCCTATTGAATATGTTTCAATCTTGTTACTCCTAATCTTATGGTCATACAACTTTGTTTAGTTTGCACAACTTTTCGCATATAGGATTTGCATTTGGTTGCAAGTCGGCTGATTTTGGTACGATGTTATGAATAATGTTAGGCATGACTCAACGCCAATAAAAACTCTCAAGAAGTGAGGATGGTCCAATACATATTAATGAGTTCATTAATTCATATATAGCACACCATTGAAAATATGAGTGTTATATACAACTATGTTTACCTCGTGTAACCTTTCCTCAAGGTTCAGGCTAGTTCTTAGCACTTCCAAAGCTGTTTTCAGTCGGGGCTTCTCTTGGTATATCAGCTTGTTCCCCCTTATCTGTGTTTGTTTTATATTAACAAGATATTTATTTTTCAAAAAAGAATTGGGTATTTGAAAATATAGAGGGGTTGCTTATATGTGTCAAACTCACCTCTTCGCGTTTCACTGGATCCTTGAACGCAGAGTCTATGATGTCTTTAGTGGGAACTATTTTCCACTTCGGTATGACATCTTCAACTTTAGTTAGCATGCTTATGACCAGAGGATGTGGCTTCACCTTCTCGGATATCTGAAAGTATTATACAGATATGCCAGTTATCAAGGGGCAAAGGCAAACCTCATATTTAGCCGATTTGGAACAATATTGAATATTCAATACTTCTTCCATTTCTTAATAGTTTATCTTGTTTGATTGACACGACACACGAGGAATAAGAAAATGAGAATTAGATGGTTGATTGTTGTGCGGATGAGAGAAATATTAAAAAATCCACAAAGCAGATGGAGTATATGATTCACATCAATGGTAGTAGCATACGAGTATATGAATTTAGGGATGGACCGGGCCCGGGTCGGGACTGAGTTCGGGTCGGGCCTTGGGCGATACTGGGTTTGGGAGTTGGAGGCCCGGTACGGCCCAGGTAGGTTCCAGGACCGGCTCGGGCCTAGGCCTTGGTCGGGCTTTATATATATATATATATATTTAAATTTTCTTATTTATTTCTACCCCCAACCCACCCCCAAACCACCCGGCCCAACCCGCCTACCACTCAATCCATTCGAAAAATAAAATAAAAAACATTTTGGGCCCGGACCGGCCAAGCCGGTTACGTTCCAAGAGATTTGCAGTCCGTGACCCGCCCCACCCCACCCCCCGGTTCGGGCCCAAGGCCCGGTCCCGGTCAACCGGTCCAAGCCGGTACCGAATAGTGGCGGTCTGGGCCGGCCCGGTCCATCCCTATATGTGATTTCATATGAATCTCATTTCATTCTACCTTACACATAGGGGCAACAAGAATTGCGCCATGCCAGAAAGACGGGTCCATTTTGTGCAGTAGTAGGGTGACTGCCCCTCCCATTGATTCCCCATACAAGAACCTTCTCTTTTCTTTGTACTCCTCTAGGTCTGGTATCCAAAACAACATGCTTTAATTTAGACAAGGAGATGAAGCAAATGGTGAAAAACTAGTCATATCTTAATTGAAGAAACAGAACTAGAATAGTTGTTGTTTGGGAAAAATTAAGGCTCACCACAAACTGATTTGAAGAAGAGACAACAATCGTTGACAATATTGTCAAACCTTTTGATGTAACAGCGAGAACCCATTGACCGTCCATGTCCTTCATAATCAATTCCAAACACGGCATAACCATAGCTTGCAAGCTTGGTTCCAACACCTAGTTTATTTATTATATTATTATAATGACAAATATGGAGCATATTATAAGATACTATACCGAGATCCATGATGTTCCTTTATCTTGTTTATACTACTTATTACCGACAAACAAATCTCTATTGGATTATACACTTTATTATTCATATATATCATCTATGGACCATTATTATATGGTATAAGAGGTGTGGTTCCTAAATTTATTACTTAATTTTTAAGGTTTAGATGTACGAAACCCGCTAGACACATAAGTGTTTGAAACTCAATGGAGTGAGTTTCAGTCCCGATTACTCCAGACCCTCCACCCCCTCCCTCATACGCCCCATACGCCCCTTGGAGTAAAAAAAAGGTTTAGGTGTACGAATTGAAGTATTTAATACGTAGTAGAAGAAAGTAAGGAGGTTCGTTGACCAAATGCTTATTCCTAGCTAGCTGTATCCTAAAGCACTGATTTGAATTTTAAATTAGTCAACCAAGCTGATGTAGTAGATGATGAATTTCCCGACTAATTAACTAATTACTAATGTGTTTTCCTGCATATATTAAATTACCGAAAGATAATAATTTAAAATTATCTACAAGTACAATTTAATTACCTATGTATTATCCTACTATACCCTAACTTGTGCACTCATAGGTTCGAGATGATCATTATGATTCCCTAAAAAGCATTCTGAAGGCCTAAATTGATTTATTTTGGACAAGCAAAACCACGTAGTAAAACGCAAAATCAGTTACTATTAAAATGGTCTTCTATTATTAGGAAGGTCTTCTATTAAATGGTCCACACAAAATCTTAAGCATTAACGGGCTATCCTAAATTAAATTATGGGTGCAGGTGTACAATAAACCATTAAATTATGCATGATCCAAGACAGATTGTGTATAGAAAATACAAATCAACAAAGATTATTGGGATATCATCCCAATACTTAATAGAAACAATTTGCTCTCTTTGATTGTTTTACCACCAATTTGATTGTTTCTATAATTGAGTTAAAGAAACAATAGATAAAGAAGTAAAAGAAAGAAGTAGAAGAAATGGAGGGATCAAGCACTTTATTACCTTTCATGAAGCCACTGCATTCCATGCCATACCCTGATCAAACCCTCTTTTTAATCAGTAACATAAATACTCCATATAATAATTACTCGTATATTACTAAAAAGAAACCAAAAAGAGAAAATTAGATTAAAATAACAGTAGAGAAGCTTGAAAGAATAGAGGGAAACCATGGCAAAGGAAAACAAGGGCCTTTGGAGAAGAGAAGGGCAGCCATCTGCAAGTGAAGAGCTGGACTCCTCTCGAATTTCTTACATATTCCTGTACGTAATAATAAATTTAATTAAATAATATTGAATATATATGTATATATATATATATAAGAATTTAATTATATTGCTCATGTAAAATATAAAACATGCAAAGGAAGAAGAGAGAGAGAGAGTAGCGACCTCTTGATATTCAAGAGCCATTTTTTTCAGAAAACAGAAAACCAAAAAAAAAAATGATTATAATAACAGCACAAAACTCGGCATTCACGGATAGAACAGATCTGTGACGGCGAAAGGGGAGAGATTTAGGAGAAGCTGATGGATGAATGAATAGATATAATAATATATGGGTGGGAGGTGGTGGTGTACTAGTAATGGTGAACTTTGATATTGTTTCCTATTTTTATTTATTTTAAATTTGATGATTTCAAGAAATAATTAAATTCAACTGAAGCTTCCATATATACTAATTCCTTACCGAAAAGATTTGACAAATTGACTTTTCATAGTTAATGATGACATACTTTGAGTAATGATTTTAGTTATTATATCTGTATATAATTTATAAATTTCATATTTTTATGAAAATGTTTTCAATAAGGAATATTTTGATATACTTTTCATATTCTAAATAATTTCGTATTAAAATGTATCATTGGTCAAAGTTGATTGTCTTTAATAAAGAAAAGTCAATTTGTCAAACCTTTTCAGGACGAGGAGTATTAATTATACGCTAAGTGACGTGTGAGCTCAGCTCAGCTCTTCCTCCCCAACTTTATTTATTTAAGAAGTACGGAGTATATATTTGTTTTATTAACTTTTAGATAAACCGCAGATTTCTTCCTTTTAATTTAGTTTCTATTCTTTAAAATAATATATCCCTTACCCAGCATGGCCTATAGTGCTTGTCCAAACAAAATCGAGTACTACTTTCTAATATTAAATTAAATAGACTAGATGATTGCATATTAATTTTTCACTTCCTTTTTGGTAATAAACATCACATACGCTTTTACAAATAAATATCTTTGCACCCGAATTCAAACATCTACCACTACATTTAATATTGTGTTGCTTTGGAAATCAAGATCTAGAGAAACGGTAATAAAAAGAGACGTAGTAATATTTGAATTTAACTAAACAAATTGCATCTCCAAATAAGTGTAATTTTGTACACCCTCACTAACGAGGGTGATGTTCACACCCTTTGTTCTATGGTTGCCATGTGTCATTTCATCCCATCTCATTCCATTGTGAAGTATTGCCTTGCCACATGGGAGACAAATAGGGGTGATGGTGAATAAAATTGTGTTCTCTCCAAACACGTGGAGGGGTATTTAATTAATAAATTTATAAAAATGCAAGGCTAAATTATTTATTATATATGCAATTAACCTTATTACCTTAGTGACAATAAACAACTAGCTAGGGTGAGCACGTGACAGTTATGGGATGGTTCATACTAAATAATCGATACCATCCCATACTTTATAAAAAGTACTATTTTGAGTTATGTTAAGTGCACACATTTTTACGTACATTTTTTCTAGATTCGTTTGTCTCACACAAACAAAATTGTATGTCCACGGACAACTCTACAGAGTTGTCTGTGGGACAGACAACACTGTCTGCGTGAGACACACGAATATCCAAAAAAGTATACAAAAATGTGTACATCAAGCATTTTTGTATTATTTTGGTTTTGTTGGTTCTGACTATAATAGTGCTTTTGATATGGAATGAGTAATTCGGATTCGTGCCCAGCTCTATCACCAACTGATACGTGCAATCTAGACTCATATTGAATGACACCGTCACTTGAAACATTTAAACGTAGTTGTGGCATCAATTTGTTTCATCAAAAAGTTAAAGTACCTAAATGCATCAATACCAAAGTTATGACACTGTCTATGCATTTTACACTACAAAAAACTTTCAGTTTGTCATGGATTTTGTCACGAATTTCAGTTCAAAAAATCCGTGACAAAAAATTTTTGTCACGGACTTTGTCACGGTTTTATCCGTGACAGAAAATGCTTAACTAAAAAGTTTGTCATGACCAATATTCCGTGACAAACTTTATCACGGATTTATCATGGCCGGCATCCGTGACAAAACACGGCACCGGAGGAACGCCGATATTTATTTGTCAAAGTCTAGTAAGCCCAACCTAGACCCAATACTCAAAGTCTAATGCATGGTGACTTAGGGAGGGGTTTCGACCCAATACCATGTCACCTATCTTCACCAAACACTATCATTTTTATATAGCATGAAAATTCAACTATGACATTGTAATGAACAAAGAGGGCAAGCATATATCTTATTTTGGTCTTAGTTTTTACTAATTTATAAAAATAAATTAAGCATGCATAAAATTGGTACTATAGTAATATCAATGTTAAATTGTGTTGGAAAAATGTGTTGAAAATTGCATTAAATGGTGATTTTGGGGCAATTATTTGAGTGGGGCCCACTTCCGATTTGGGTCGGGTCAAAGTGGTTTCGGATTGTCCTTGTTAAGGGCTACAATTCGATATGTGGTACACTCAAAACGGATAACGGGTGAATGCGAAATTGATTCTCGAAGTTCACTCGTTGAAATGGAAAAACTGGGAAAATGATGGGTTTCTAGTGTGTTTTATCCCACATCGGAAAACTCAAGGGATTTTCACCCCCTTATAAAAGGAAAGCCTCTTTTAAGGAGTTAAGATTTCTAAAGGTAAAGGCTCTCTCTTACGCGCAGGGGGGGGTGTCGATCAAATCCCGAAACGGAGAAGAAAAGTCGCGACTCGTGTACGCGGGCGACCTGCGGACACGAATGCCTTCCAAAAATCTATCTCTCAGGAGATACGGTTAATAAACGTTTATTTTTCCCCCGAAGTGCAACAAGACACAACACACAATACTTTCCTCACGTTTTCTTGAGCTAAAAACACTTCCAGCTACTCCGAAATTTCCTAAGTGTTCTGATGGAGTATATGGGTCTAGGCCTCAGGACCCACATACTCAGAAGAACAGAAAGTACAAGCCACTACGCAATGCCCTCGTCGGCCAAAGGACCCTCGTCGGCCGAAGAGGGACCAACTCAGAATATGATCCTGAAGCCAGGGAACCGGGGTGTCCTCATCGGCCGCGCCCTCGTCGGCCATGGAAACTTCACAGGACTAGATTTTACACTTAATCATTTCTACACACATTGTATTCAGCCCAATAGCGGTCCAATTGTAAATGGGCCTCCCAAGCCCAAGGCTTGGGAGCCCAGCCCGTATTTTTTCCTATAAATACTTCCTCTGGAGGTAGTTGTAGGGGTTACAAAATCATTCTATTGAAGCATTTACTTGCACTTCTCTCTCTAGCTCTCACTTCTCTCTAGATATATACTCTATCATGTTCATACTGTGTTCCAGTTCACCGGAACTTTCGTTTGTTTGCTCAAACGATCGTTCGTTAGCCACCGTATCCTGGGAAACGGTCGTTGCAACGCTCCTAGCACCGTGGGAGGCGACGAATACATTTTAAGGACATCGTGCGTAACACAAGCTCTGACTAAAATCTGCTCTATCTTATTTTCTGTTTTCTTTTAGCTAATTTATTTATTAATTAATTTTATTTAATTATTATATCTTCGTTCTTTCCGAAACACACCCAACAAATTGTAATTACAAGCACGAACGTTTGTACTCCGTCTATAAATATATTGAACATGTGCAACCAAACGAACCTATATAGGGCTAATCCAGTCCTATCAAATGGCACTGTTGGGAGAACCAAATTTAAATGATGTGACAATGCAAGTTTTTATTCTTAACAAAATGTGATAGGAGAAAGAATTTGATAAATGCCCCATCTTCAAATCCCTCATTAATCAATCATACTCCCTATTGGAACCGGACGAGAACATATTGATTTAATCACAATGAGCTGAAATTGATAAAATTTTGACTGAATAAATTGAATTATTTGAAGCAGATAAATTGTGAGTAAATTATATTTATTGATAAAATTAAAAAAAATTATATGATAAAACAATTTAAATGATCCTCTCTAGTAACTACTTCAACAAAAAGTAACTTTAACGTTATTTATTTTAAATACTTCTTCCGATCCTTAATTAAGTTTACGCTTTGATTTCACACATATTGAGGAAATAAATTTGACTTTACTGTAGAGTATACTGTTTGGCACTGTTTGGTGTAGATTTGTTTGTCAAATAAGACAAACGAAGTATAAAGAAGCGTAAAGTTTAATATGAGACGGCCCAAAAAGGAAACTGTAAAGTTAATTAAAAACCGGAGGATATACACACAAAATGAAGGTTACGTGCGTTTGTATAAAAGTTAATGTAAGACTCATAATCTAAAAATAAGAGTTACCAACCAGCCTCTAAAACTACAAGACATAACATATCATCAATTATGTGTGACCATCATAATTAATACCTCACCCGAAATAAATATGAACTATGACCGATAGTCATTTTTGCCATTATATCTCCTCTCCCAGAGTAAGAATATAAACTATGACCAACGTTTTCAAAAGCAACTCCACAAAAACAAAAACGTAGTCATCCGGTGGTGGAGGACCTAAGGGGGCTAGGGTAGCTTCGGACCCGGAAATTCACTGATAGCACTTAAGGTAAAAATCAGTGCTCCGTTTCGGAGCCGAAGTTTTTGTTATAGACTAAGTTTAGTGTTTAGTGTGTCCCGTTCTCACAAATCTCTGAGTCCGCCGCTGTAATCCTCAGAAGTAAATTTTTAACACGAGATACCTGTTGGGGTAGTTGATGGACAATAATGTTTTCTACCAAAGTACCTAATAATAATTTATTACCAGCCCTATACCACGTTTGGCTGAACTTCGTGTAACATCAATTCCTTTAGGCCCGCGAATCACTTCTACCCATTAATTCTTTCACATTTAATATTCCGACCATTATAAATCTCACAAAAAGTTCCACGCTCCCATGCATGGACTCCGGCAATTAATCGTGCACAACTACTACACACCGTATTTTATCATTATATAATTTAATTATAAAAAAAACATTGAATCACAAAACCGAGGCTTCCTAGCTAACTGCCGCTGCTCCCAAGAGTTTTAATGGAAATGGCAATTTATAAAAAATACTCCTATACTCCTATAGTTCAAACACGTAAATTTTGATTTCCCGTGTTGAATTGTGTAATAAAAAAAAAAATAAGGTTGAAGTTACTTTTCCGGTTGTATTCACTGAAATTACTGTAGATGACCATTTTAACGTAACTATTTTTTCATATAATTTTTTCTTTATTTTGTTAATAAATATGAAGTATATTTTAAATATAATTTTTTCATAAATCAGCAGAATCAGCCAATACAACCACTTCAACCAGAACTTCATAAATTTCAGTAGAATCGGCCGATTCAACCAATTTCAGTGTTACCAAACAACCTCTTAGTAACCTCATCAACTTCATAAAGCAATTAATTACACATAATTTAATCACAAATTCACGTGAAGTTAAAATTATCAAGTAAGATTGTTTAACCAAAATTCTAAAATGGTACAATTCACTTATGGTAGTAATCTGCTTCATTTAAGAGGTGGGATCACGAGAGATTGAATACCTCAGCCTTGTATGTACGAAGTACTGGGTATTATAATAACGTTAGAAGCATTGAACTCGTAAAGTATGAATCAAACAGGAACTAGTCCCCCCTTATATAGCACTGGATGGATTTATCCTTCTTGATTCTTATTACTCGGTTCTTACAACAATGGCTTTTTTTACTTGTATGGTTTGGAGTCTTCATTAACTCTGTGTAATAAACACACAAGACCAGTTACTCCAGCTACTTGTTTCCACTGTCGGGGGCCACACAGGACTGTGCCTACCACAACGCCTGCTGACACCACATTAATCTGCATACCAAACTCAGAAGTTGAAGTTTACATTTAAACCAGCCAGAAATGTTTTTCATTTTCATTTTCATTTGGGAGTTGGTTTTTGGGAGAGAGGGGAAGACATGTGAGGATTGATGACCCTCCTATTTGTGTTTGAGATAAGAGTTTAAAATGTGGAGGAATGGTTTTGGAAGATTTTGGTTGCCCAATTCAAAATGAGGGGTTTTACAGCATAACTAACTAAACTAACTAAATGATAATTTAAGCTCAATTTAAAATGAATATCAGTTAACTATTTGAATTCATCATATTTCATATATGATTTTCATTTATAATTTCATTTAAGGCTGTCTTTTTCCAAATTTACTCCTCCCAAACGGGAAGATCGGTTACCTTCAAAGTTTTTCCCTTCCTTTTCCCCAAAATCCCAAACATGCCAGTCCCCATCCCATGACTTGGCAATAAAGACATGTGAGTCTCAAGAATTCTTGTGGGACCGCATAAGTTTATTTGCACATTTGGTATTGGTAATTGTTTGACCACATAAAAACTTGTCCCCCATCGGAAGGGAGCCATTAATAAAAAAGGTTCTCATTTTGCTGAAAAGGTAAAAACAGTGAGGTCAACAACTAAGCACGGGAAGGAAGACTAGAAATGTTGAAATGAAAATAATGAAGAGATAATGTGAGAAATATATGAACCAACCAAATCAGCCCTCCTCCTATATTTTTGGACACCACAATGAGTGAATGAGAAGATTGCAGCCAAGAGTCCTGAAGATAAGAAGCCGAAGCACCCATAACAAGATAATATAAACAACAAACAATTCTAAAAGATCATGACAATGTGAATACACAAATCCAGAAGTCACATCTCACCATCATTCTAAAATATGATGATTTTTTTTAAAGCATGAGAGAGATTCAAGGCTAATGATCGTGGAGATTGAATGTAGACATTCGAATGAATTAAATATGATGAAAATTTAGACATGTGATCATAATCCAATTACCGTAGTATATAATGAATTAACAAGAATCAAGATTAGAAGTTCAACAAGGGCTTGTTTGGTCACGCAAGGGGAAGGTCGATACAACCAAACATTCCAGCCCAGTTGGTTGAGAGGTTACCGTGCCTGGTGGGAGGTCTCGAGTTCGAAACCCGCTAGGCACATAAGGGTTTGAAACTCAATGGAGTGAGTTTCAGCTCTGATTACTTCAGGTCCCCAGGCCCCTCCCCCCGACCCCCTGGAGTAAAAAAAGGGGGGGGGGAAGGTCGATACATATTTTTCATATCATTTCTGCACCTCAATGGTTGAAATAAAATGAAAAGTAACTACATGGAAACAATGATCTAAAACTATATAGTTATATTCTGTTTTAAAACTAACAAAATAGATAAATTGTTACAACATGAACTCAACCCTCCCTGTCCCTTCCCGCCTGAATTCCTCGAATGCAACACGCTCCAAAGCTCCCAATCTAGACAGAACTTAAGGTCCAAGGAAAGTAGTACAAAAAATTGGAGTAGAAGTACCCCTTAAGAAAATGACTCAGTAATGTAACAATGAGAAACTCGGCTACTCAAACAATCAAACTTACTCCACTCAAATCATAAACAGAATAATGGATTCAGCACTCAAAGTTCTGCAGACTTGACTAGTTACGACATAGAAACTAAAGAACACTGAAAGATAAGCAAAAATTAATTCTAGGATACTATATTCCTTACCCCATTGGAATCCACAATGACCAATTGATCTGGCCTGTATACAAAAAGGGTAAACAAGAGAATATTAAGAAAAAAGATCAGCTGTCAAATTGTCAAAGGTGTTATAAGTTATAACCAGGCTATGAAACCTCAAGAACTCAAATGAACAATTGAATGATAAGCATTTTGCTTACTTAGATATCAAAATCCAATATATTCCACATGAACTAATAATTCAAGTTATAGATTTATTATTCATGCTTTATAGCATCTCAGAATTTGTCTAATAGTTGCTTATCTCTTTTCTCTACATTTATCATTTTTTTCTAAATTCCCCTTCTTCATCCAAAAAACCATTTTTTACAGTGTTTAATGCTTGTCTGATTCATGGATTTCGAAGGAGTGCTTCTTAAACTATTCTTACATTTAGATGGTAAAAAACAAAGTGAAGATAATAACTCTACTAAGATACATTATTTAACTAATCATATAGTTATTTCTAAGATAATAGTAACAAATAGAGATACATTAGTAAAACATAAACCAATCTCCCTCTCTTTGAAATCCCCTAACTAGAAAAGCCTTAATGCTTTGAGAAGCTTGCCCAAACTCAATGTCAAATACTGAACAGAACACATTTTTCAGAAGAAGTAATCGCTTTAAGTAATAATGCATATAAAACAAATGGGGAAAACATACTATGAACGGCACGCGAGCAAGAGTACTCAGACCTGTGGAAATTTTACTGTAAATCGAATTAAATAAATTCAAATGACAAAACCAAAACCAATTATTCAAGCAGTCGGCACCAAGAAGTTTTTACAACCTTGTTTTCCGGCGTCACGAGAGCCTGTCAAGCCGCCCCAAATTAAGCCAGCCTGAGATGATAATTTCGCTGGTGGATTCAATCTGTTTGATAAATATATATGCACAGAGATATTACAAGGAGTTCGAAAAGAAGAACATACTGTACCGATACGAAGGACGGAATCGACAGCGATCGAAGAGCATGGGAACTCGCCGGCGACGTCTGCTTCCATTTTGGTTCAATTGCCGTCGTCGCCCGGGTGCAATTTAGGGGCTGAAGGCCCATTCATTGTTGTTACATAAGCAGGCCCAATATATCATGTTGGTCTAACGCAAATCACTCCGTGGGCTGTCATTTTGGATCTAGCAATTGAAAAACTAATTGGGCCGGCGGCGACGATCACCGGGTTGTGAGTGGTTTGGCTGCAATCCCGGCCACCAGGAAAAAAGAAACTGGGAATGCAAGTATCCAGAAGTAGAAGAAATCTGATATCTTCAAGCCACCCCACTCTCAATCTCTCCTATCCAACGCTTGAATCCTTTGTCTGGAACAATCTCATTCGTGCCCATGGTAAATCATCAGATTATTCCATCACCCCGCTCTCCATTTTCCTGCGCATGTGCTCCCATGGCGTACGGCCCGATTCCCACACCTTCCCTTTCCTCCTCCACTCCTTCACCTCCCCGGAATACTTCTCCCCTGCTCGGTCCATGCACTCACTCATTATCCAACTCGGGCTGTCGGGAAACCTGTTCGTGAAGACATCGCTGGTCAACATGTACTCGTGTTACGGATCTTTACCCCTTGCCCAACAAGCGTTCGAAGAAATTCCCCAACCGGATTTGGCGTCTTGGAATTCGATGCTCAACGCCTACGTAAAAGCTGGTATGGTCACTGCTGCACGCAAGGTGTTCGACAGGATGCCAGCGAGAAATACTGTGTCGTGGAGTTGCATGATGGAAGGGTATGTGAGAACGGGTTTGTACAAAAACGCATTGCTCTTGTTCCGCAAGATGCAAACACTGAAGGATGCCATTCCAAATGAGTTCACCATGTCCGTTTTGGTTTCTGCCTGTGGAAAGCTGGGTGCCCTAGAGCATGGAAAGTGGGCTCATTGTTACATTGAAAAATGTGGAATTAGTATAGGGAACGTGTTAGGGACTTCATTAATCGATATGTATGCAAAATGCGGGAGCATTACTAGGGCAAAATCTTTGTTTGAAAATTTGGGTTCGAATAAAGACGTGAAGACTTGGACAACCATGATCTCTGGTTTGGCCATGCATGGGCACAAGGATGAATGCCTATCTTTATTCTCAAAGATGATCGCCTCTGGCATAAACCCTAATGGAGTTACATTCATCGGCATCCTCTCCTCTTGTGTCCACTCAGGGTCTGTGAATCAAGGAAAGTCGATCTTCGAAACAATGCGAAACGAATATCGTATTCCTCCCACACTCCAGCACTACGGTTGCATGGTTGACCTTTACGCAAGAGTAGGGCGACTTGATGAGGCATGGGATCTTGTGAAATCAATGCCCATTGAACCTGACGTGCTCATATGGGGATCCCTCCTAAGTGGGGCAAGAACGTCGGGAGACATAAAAACATGTGAGGCCTCCCTCAACAAGATTATAGAGCTTGAACCCACAAACAGCGGGGCCCATGTTCTTCTCTCGAACGTATATGCTAAGATGGGGAGGTGGAAGGATGCTAGGAGGGTCAGAGGTGTTATGGAGGCGAAGGGGATAAAGAAAGTCCCCGGGTGTAGTTTGGTGGAAGTGGATGGGAATGTTCACGAGTTCTATGTAGGAGACGAGTCTCGTGAGGACACAAACGAGATATACATGATGCTTGATGAGATTTTGAATAGGATAAGAATGGAGGGGTATGTTAGCAATATCGATGAGGTGCTGGTTGACCTTGAGGATGAGGGGAAGGAGTTGGTGCTTTCGCGCCACAGTGAGAAAGTGGCAGTTGCATACGTGATTATGAAGACTAGGCCAGGAGTTCCAATCCGTATAGTGAAGAATTTAAGGATATGCAGTGATTGCCATGCTGCAATGAAGATGATCTCTAAGGTTTATGGGCGAGAGATTAGTGTTAGAGACTGCAATAGGTTTCACCTTTTTGTGGGAGGTAAATGCACTTGCAACGAATGCTGGTAATTTAGAAAGCAGGAACATTACTAAATACAGAGTAATACATTAGTGATGAGTATGTAACGAGATTTTGTTATCTTGAGTTTACATTTTAATTCAGCAAATGATTAGTTAGTTTTTTTTAATGTTGATATTCTATGATTTATGGATTAGTTGAAAAACTCGAGCAACTGAAGTACTGAACTTCAATTTGTAGCTGACTAGCTGTAAATTGCCTCAAATTGATCTTACATTGATTGATACAGCCTTCTCAAATAACAATTGTCTCGGTTAATTTCAATTTCAGATTTAGGACACTGGTATTACCAATGGAAAAGCCTGTGACACAAAAGAGATCCTTTTTAAGGAGCACTTTGAACTTAAAAGTGATCAAATAAAATGCAAATAAAATGAAAACAGAAACACAACTATTTTGGATCTTCCATTTGGAATTGTCTTTGTTCTATTGAAACTCTTTTTGCTCTAATTCAAGTCCATGATACTTTCATGTTTGTGGTTAAGATACGTAGTATTTATTTTAGTTGATTGAAATTTCATAGCTTCAAACAATTGTTATATCTCTTAAAAGCATTTTTCCATGGCAAAACAAAATACTTTTGAAAAATATCTTCCAAAATGACTTTTTCTACCGCACGCCCAATCCCATGGAAAGCACAAGTCATGGGCTCCCGGCAGCTCCTATATCATAGTGTACCTATACATCACGCATTTTTGTAATTTTGTTCAACTTTGATTATTTTGATTCCTTGCTTATTTTGTTGTTTACCTATTGCTTTTGGACTTCTGGCAAAATGATCGGCCCACCTAAGCAATGCAAGCGGCTAGTAAACTTCAAACGGCAAATCGGTTTTGGTGGTGATGTTTGCTTCTTCGATTCTTCCCACTTATTTTATATTTTGACTTCCCGTAACTTTTTTATTTTCATGTCAATTTTCTACAAGATTTCTTTCATGCAATTAATATGAAAATCATACTTTGTTAGTTGAGCATCAAGAACCAAGCATTCCAGCCCAGTTGGTTGTGAGGTTACCATGCTTAGAAGCTGTTCTCTTCGTCTTAATCTTATTACTTATTCCTTATTCTTATTTTATTCAGATCAGATCAGATCAGATCAGAAAGATTCAGATCAGATCAGATCAGATCAGATCAGAAAGATTCAGATCAGATCAGATCAGATCAGAAGCATTCAGATCAGATCAGAAGCATTCAGATCAGATCAGAAGCATTCAGATCAGATCAGAAGCATTCAGATCAGATCAGATTAGTTCAGAAATTATTATTACTGTTATTATTACTATTATATAATATTATATATTACTGTTATGTTTTACGGAGTAATTTTTAGTATTGATTTTTTAATAAATGCTAAAATTGAGTACTCTGTACCAATCCATCTAATCTAAATATATAATACTGTCACCATTTGATCGAGAAGAATGAATTGAAGTACAAACATCTATTCAATATCAACTTGCGATTATGGTATCAACTTTCGCACTGCACAACTTTATCCGTCTTTACGAGTTGGATATTCCAATTTCAAGTGCAATCAAATATTTTTATTATTATTAAAAAGGTTATTAATATCACTACTTATTATTATTATTATTATTATTATTATTATTACTACTACTACTACTACTACTACTACTACTACTACTACTACTACTACTACTACTACTATTGTTATTATTATAATTATTATTATTGTTACGGAGTATTATTTTTATTATACTTATTAAATAATAATAATAGTTATTATTACTATTATAATTATTATTGATGTTATTATTATTATTGTTATTGTTATTATTCTTATTATTATATACCAATTTAGAAAGTTAAGATCAGATCAGAAGGATTCAGATCAGATCAGAAACATTCAGATCAAATCAGAAACATTCAGATCAGATCAGAAACATTCAGATCAGACCAGACAGATTTAGATCAGATCAGAAACATTCAGATCAGATCAGACAGATTCAGATCAGATCAGATCAGATCAGAAAGATTCAGATCAGATCAGATCAGATCAGAAAAATTCAGATCAGATCAGATCAGAACTTAAAAAATTCAGATCAGAAACATTCAGATCAGGTGAAGAGAACAGCTTCTTAGTTGAAGGTCTCGAGTTCGAAACCCGCTAGGCACACAATGGTTTGAAACTCAATGGAGTGAGTTTCAGTCCTGATTACTCCAGCCCCCCCTCTGGCCCCCCTGGAGTAAAAAAAAGTTGAGCATCAAAACATTTTCATTGAACATCAAACATCTTCTATTGAGTACCAGAAGCATGCAATTTAGTATCATGATCTATGCCCCCATGTGAATCTAAAATGATACTTTTGGAATATGCATTAATATGACATTTTAAAATGAACATAAAACCTGTGCCAGATGAACGTACATGACTTACAAACTGAACATAAAAAATTCAAAAGATCATTTGAATTCTCTAATGTGTTTAAGATGTTCATTTGTGCACGTGTATCATAATGACAAATATAACAATTTATACTACCTCCGTCCTGGAATTATCTCCTTATTTGACTGGGCACAAATTTTAAGATAGTAGGAAATGTGTGGTGTAGAGTTGTGCAGAGGAAAGAAGAATGTGTAAGAATGGTTGTGAACCACAAATTCTTTGCCAAAAAGGGAAAGAAGAGACAAATTTGGGACGGACCGAAAATGAAAGTATGAAGATAATTTCGGAACGGAGGGAGTATTAAAAATAATTTATAGTCTTTCGTTCTGGAATAACAATTTTATATTAAAAATAATTTCATATTTATTTTACACCATACTCGTTTTAGTATAATACAAAACTCATCTTAGTAATTAGCAAATTATATTTAATAAACTAATAAATATTCATTTTAGATTAAAAAAGAAAAATAAAAAATTAATACTTTAAATATTCATCAAAAATTGAAAATTTGAAATCAATGAATAAGGTGGTTAAGAAAAAAAGAAAAAGATGAAAACAAATCCATGTAAAAAGCAAAAGAAAAGAGACGTAGTGCAATTACACAGTCCTCTCAGGATGAAGTTCCAACTAAAGATGAAGTTCCACTTATGCAGGGAAGAATACAGCCGCAA